TGCTCTTTGGCTAGTTAGATTACTTATCAAGATATACACCCATAAAAGCAATGTTTATGCGTACCTCAACACTTTACTCATATGCATCTTGTCGTTGTACTTTTAGGCTTTTGGTAGTTGTAAATCTCCTAAAAACAATTAATGCCAGAGATGAAAATGCATTAATCGCCCTCCACCAGCCGGATCTGGAGATCTGGGCCCAACCCACCCAAACCTTGGACAAAAACAGAACTAAGCAAGAGATTGTTCCTTTTACCTATCAACAACTCTGATCTAGTTAGGTTGAGAGTAGTTGTGGGAATAAATCCACCTCACCAGTTACAACTTCTACAATCCCCACTAACTTACTGATTGGATCTAAGGTAGATAAGGGTTTAAATGCCTCCTTGCCCGCTACATGTTCCTTCCCAGAGTCAATAAATGTCTAGGCTCACACTGCTCAGGCGCCTGCCTGTAGTTTTGAGATTGACCCACATGGAGATTTGGCACACAAATCGTAGATCTCCTCGTAGACTGCAACTCCCTAGCTTTACCCAATAAATGACCAGACCCACCCCACTTTCTGAGCCACAACCAATGGCCCAAAGATCTTACCCTCAGAGGATGCTCTCACGGAGGAGGGAATATGCTTTCACGGAGGAGAGAAGATTTAGTAATTTAAAATGTTAAAAAAAAAACATATTTAGCATTCAATATTTTTGCAAAGAGATTATATTCACACACTCTAAATCCACATCCTTTTAATTTTTTAATATTTTCTACACATCACTAATACTTGATAAAAAAATATTAAAAAATTAAAAAGATGTGGAAAAAATCATTTGGAATGTGTGAATATAAATTTTTTTTTTTTTTTTATTTTTGTAGGGAATAGAAAGGGGGCCAAATGGCAAAGCTAGGATAGAAAAAAAGTATTTAGATAGAAGATGGTGGGTCCAAAGTTGAAATATGGGTAGAAAGAACGCAATACGACAACGTTTTATTAAAAGAAAAAAAGTAGGGTGCAGTGCACAACTCGTCTTCTCTTCATTTGCAGGTTCTGCAACTCAAATTTTTACACTCCGGCTAATAAAACCCAGCCAACGGTGGCTCTTATATCTACTATGTTATTAATTATTATTTTACACAATAATTTATCCTATCGAATCCTTCATAAGCTCCTTCTAGAGTTTAGGGTGGTCATTCTAAGTACTTCACAGGCATTTTTTCTGATCTTTGGAGGGTTCCGGGACCACCCCAGTCCCTATATAGATTCGGACATGATTATTGGTACATGACTAGAGTCTTTCCCGACTGCCTTTTGTCAAATTATTAGAGAGATGGACCAAAGATCCACTTCCAACATTAATATTGTTCCTAATTTAATAATTACCACATGCACAATCCATCATTGTCTCTAACTTGGTAACTACCACCTGCACAATCCGTCAGGTGTGCAGTTTTATGACAAAAAATCTTGGTATTAGTTGGGATGGAGTTAAGATATTTAAACTCTTTTTTTCTCACATATACGGTCGATGTGGGATACATCGACAACCATGTGGAACTAAGGGGACTCACCTTACATGCGGGGCCAAGGGACCAACCATCATCGCACAGGACTAAGGGGACCCACCCATCACGTGGCAGTATGATCCCACTCCTTGACTGAGAGACTGACCAAATGTCCACCTCCAACAACACTAATACTATCCCAAACTTGATAATTACGACATGCACAATCTTTCATTATGAGATTTTATTACAAAAGGTATCGGTGTTAGTTGCGATGGAGTTGGATATTTAAACTCTTCTTTTCTCACATATAAGATATTTCAACACCATTAACCATAATGCCATTGGTAGAGTTTAAACAAGCCTAAGTATTGCATAAAACCTAGTTTTGAGTATAGTCAGCTTAAAATTGAACACCCTGACGCGTTTCCTAAAGGGTAAATTTGGTGGGAAAGGACAGAAAAAATTTGTTGGTTCACACTTTGTAGGTTGTATGGCGGGATTTTATGTGTCACAGGTTCATATTGCAAGTTGTGGGTAGTCACACAACTCATATCATGATTCGTGGGTAAACTTTGGCTGGCTTGTTGAAAGGCATCTGATCTGACCGATTTGCATTTTACACTATACATATTCATTACTTGATTGACTAGTAATTTGTCGATGATGGCTACTTTGACTAAGTGATATATGATTCATGTAAACAATGAGTTTGGGTCATTTTCACTCTGATTTCCCCCGTCATTTCCATGTCAAAAATTCTGGCCGAACTTGCGGTGACTTTTCTTTTTGTTTGTGCTGATAATTCAAAATGTCGACTTCAGAAATGAAAACATACAAGCCAACACAAGGCAGTGATTGGTAGAGCAGTGGAATTTAAGAGCCTTTTCTCATTAGGATTTTGTAAGAGGTGCCGGGCAGGTTGATGCATTTCATATGATCATGCTAGGTGCTCACAGTTTCTAAATTTATTCTTTTGTTAGAAAATCGATTGCTTGCATTTCTTTGCCCTAAACCCCAAAAAACTCTCGACTTCTATAACTAGAGTTCGCAGCCAGCATAAGGAGTCTTTTATGTCTCATTTGTCAATGAAAGAAACATAGCGGTTGCATGTGTGCGTTAAGTTACTTGTCCAAGACAATGTGCTAGTTTTCTTTCATTGAAGTTCAAACTGCTCTCATAAACCCTAGTAGTTAATAAATCAAAATATCATTTTGTCAAAAAATAAAAATAAAAGGGCCTCGACGTTCTTTTCTCTTAGAATTGTTACTAATAGGAGAGAGGATAAAGAGAAATTTTAATTTGCAAATTGCAACACATCCAAGTTTTTCATATATGCACCAGCCGCATTACGTTTATTATTCGCCTTAATGCACTTCATGCTACATTGAATGCTCGATGCTCAAACTCACTCCCTTAAACTTCAGATAGTTGTAATCACTTGCAAATCATATGTAAGATTTGTTTTTCTTTTTTGGCACAACCTTGATGGTGGGTATTGTTCAACGTCGGAAAGAGAAGTGCCACTAAACCAATTTGGTATACATAAAACTTGAACAAAAACTATAGAACCTTTGTTCACAGCATTAGTACCATTCTAATACTGCAAAAATTGTTAATTAACAGTGCGTAGGACACTGGCGTTTGTAATTGTTTTAAAGTTCTTTTTGGTCACGAGAACAAGATCGAACGCTTGATTTATCTTACTCCGAAATGTGTCACAATAGGAATTTATAATTATAACTACAATTATAGAGAATTTGCTATCCTACTTATCGAAAAGTTGATGGTAGATATGGTAGATTTGTCTATCCAACTATAAATGTTCTTTTGCTTTTTATTTTTTTCAGTAAGAAATGTTTGAATTTATTTGTTTAGTAAGCTTGATTGTTCTCTGCCGGTGTGGTAATGCAGTATTTACAATTTGTTTGCGAAGTTAAGCATTGTTCCTCGACGACTCTATGCACCAACCAGTTTTTTCTAGAAAAGTTTGCCACATTAAATTAAAGTGCGTTGAGTGTATAATCTGAGCTATATTTTCGGACTCAAAACTACTCTACGTTTCGTACACCAAAGTACGAAACTGCCCCCTGTGCATTGACCAAATAACATGGCTGCACTCATCATCAAAATCAAGTGACGTATTTGAAAAATAGATTTTTTTTTCTTCTTCTCATATATTATTTCAGTCAGTTATCTTTGAATTGTTACTTATTATAATATAATAAGATAATTTATTTAGGGAATATAATAATAATTATTAAAATCTTATGATAAGAACGTTATCATACTTAATGGTGCTACGGTATGACTTATCTATTCAAATTTTCGCTTGAAATTTATAATCAAATTTATCCCATTGCAACATATAAGCAAATGGTTTTTTTCTTCAACTAAAAAAACATTAATCACGAAAAAGATACACAATAAATCTTAAAGCCTAAATATGAAATTATAATAACAAAAGGTAAAGCTTGTAAACCAAATGCAAGATTGATTATAAGAAATGTCTTATCGAGGTAAAGTCATCTACTACTCTAATTCGTTTTCTATATTTTTAACTTAAGTCATTAATTTTTATACAATTGCCACTTAGTACTATAGTATAATGATATTTCTTTTCACTTATAAGTGAGAGATCTTAAGTTCGATTCTCGCCAAAAGACAAATTTGAACAACATTACTGCTAGCCCATTTTGAGGTTAAGCTCATCCCGCTTTCCCTTAGTGTAGATGATATTATTTGTTAAAAAAAAAAAAAATTCATACAACCTGGTTTGACCCCTTTAATAGTTAGAAATACTTTTCTTGTTAAGCTATGTTCACTTTCCATTAAAAAAATTATTATCATTTCTTAATCCCAAATTCCCAATTTTTTTTTTACGCAAAGAAATTCATTAAAGCACGAAACCACTAGTACAACCCTTCACAATCATTATTGAACATTCACATAATTAGAGTCGATGCTCTGAGTTGGTGAGTTTGCTTGATTATGACCACAGGCAGGGTGAAATTCCTCATATCCTCTCCGGGCCTGGAAGGGGTAGATAACCGTGGTTTGCCACCAGTTGTTCACTTAAAAAAAAAAAAAAAAAAAAAAAAAAAAAACAACATTCACATAATTAACATATGATCCTAATTGTCACTCATTACTACGGTCTAATGATATTCCTTTTCACTTGGAAGTAAAATGTCTTAGATTCGAATCTTGAGAATGGTGAATTCGAAATCAAATTAGGTTACCCATTGTGTGGTTTAGCCGAACTCCCCCTCCCCTGAATGTAAAAAATATCGATGTACTAAAAAACATGTGATCCTCATTTCAAATATTTGAAAAATAAAATGCTTGCCAAAAAAGTGTGGACTTGGAAATTCCAATAAGTGTACACATCCGTATCCAAAACTAACAAGTGAAAGTCAAACGGAATGGCAAATGGGTGATTATCTCACACACCAAGACCATTCTACAGCACACCATATAGATTGACTCGATAAAAAACCTAGTGAGAGATAGCAGACAGAGAGAGAGCCTGCATCAAGCTCCAATTCCCAAGCCAGCAACAAAAGCTCACCTCCTCCTGCTCCTTCTTCTTCCTAGATCTCTCTCGATACTGAATCATCATTAAGCTTTATAATTAATCAAGGTCAGTCATATTAATCAAGATCATCATGACGAACCAGTTGGAGAGCTTGGTGGAGTCGATCAAATCGAAAGTTCGAGCGCTGAAGAAGAAGTCGAAGAAACCGTACATAAAGATGGACAAAAGCTCCAGCGTGAAGGTCGAGATCCGCAGCAAAAAGGCACGCAAGCTCATCGACAAAACCCTCAAGGCCGCCGACCGTCCCGGCAAGCGCCCCATTCCTTAATTTTTCAATTAACTAATCATGTTATGATCCCAAATAATTACATTTCTAGCTTCTATCATTTACCAGGTATTTGTTTTGTGTAAATCTCTTCATTACAAAAGAAAAAAAGGGGGTTGGATCGGAGATAGGTAGGCTGATTGGTGAATTGGGTTGTTTCTGGGTGAAGTTTTTATTTTTTTGTATAAGTTTTTGGTTTGGCTGCCGATTCTGTGTTTTGTAACCGTTTCGGATTGTCTTCGATTTCAAATCAAATGAACAATGTTTGGGTTATGGTTTTGTCTTCAAATCTAATGAGCAATTGTTACTAGTGCCTGTTTTGCTGAAATTTTGAAAGTGAATGACGTGCCAAAGACTTTCGGCTTTTATTTTTTCAACTTTTAGAATTTTAATCATTCAAAGGGATTCGAGCATCACTCGAGACTCCTTTAGGGGGATCGAGGGTTGCTCGAAAGAGACAGATGAAAGTTGTTAATGGGTTAAATAATGAGTTCAATGATTTCTAATCTTCTAATGCATAAAAGAGAAAGATGACACTTTCATGACTATTTACCAAAAAAGAGTATTTCATGATTGCTTAATCGTAATGTAATATACGCCAAATAAGATTTTACTGCGGGCCCCTACTAAAATATATGGGGCCTGGAGGGATTCGAACTTGGACTTCTTTGAACTTTAAGAAGAGATAAAAAAAAGGTACAACTACCAATAGCTAATTGGTGTTTGCACCTGCTTGTTGGGTTTGCTTCAACATTTATGTGTTTCTTTTAACAAAGATAATATCTACATTAAGAGAAGTGGGGAAGTGAGCTAAACCTTATAATGGGCTTGTCATAATAATGTGGTTCAAATTCGCCTTTAGCGGGAATCAAATTCAAGACTTCTTACTTATAAGTGAAGATGAATATTACTAGCTCGTAGCACTAAGTGGTGCATCAACATTTATGTTAAAAACTTGTAGAAGTGGTTTGGAATTGGATAGTTAGTTGTTAGGGGAGAAAATTTTGATAGGGATTAAACCCGCAACATAATGCATAGACATAATTGATTTATGCCACAACGATAAAACCCCATTTACAAATTAATATATTACCCAGTATCCAATAAGTTAAACACAATTTCATTAGAGAATTGTTATTAGCACTCCAAAAATCTCATTCTACACTCCTCATAAGTGTTTCTTTTTTTTCCTAATTATAGTAAGTTTTAAGTGTCAAATGAGGTTTTTAGATTGTCAATAACAATTCTCTTCCATTATATATTAATCGCTTGGAAAAGCTTCAAGGTCTCTTAACCGGACTCAGTGGATCTATGATGAGGAAAACCATGGAGTTAAAAAAATAAAATAAAAAACCCAAACAAATCACACGTGAAAAGTGCGCTTCACTACAAAATTTTGCTTGGTAAGAATGTTGTGGACGCGAATAAACAAAACTTGTTCTAATAGTCAATAGCGTAAGTTCAATTCCAACGCAAGGATTGCAGCTGCACATTAATTAAAGAATAGCATACAGATATTCTCTAGATGCTCCGGAATATCGTATAATCCGAACATTTTAATTTTGTAATTTTTAGTTAGTTACAAATACAAAAATCAAGATTTAAAACAGTTAAAAATGCAATATTTAAGATATAAAACAGTTAAAAATGGAAAAAAAAAATGCAGCATAGATAGAACCTTTCCCAGATTGATTTGAGTTTATCATTAGAAAAATGGGAAAGAGCAGCTTTTTGCCGTGACTAGCAAGTCAACTGTTTTGATTATTTGACCGACTAATAATTTTGAGTTAATAACCAATTAGGCCCTAAAATCACATGCATCATTAAATTAAAGTAAAATAATGACTTCTGATCCAATATTTTATAAGTCAAAGTTATTCACAGTCATGTAATTCTTTCATGAAGTGAATGTATAATGCGTCGTGTTGTCCCTGAGAAGCCCTGAAGACTTTATAAGTTACACAAGTTTTCTTAGAGGAGTTGTCAAGCGCTAGTACTTTCATTTACTTATTTATGGTCTTCTCAGCCTCAAAAGGAGAATTGGTGTAGCGAAATCACCAATTGATCCATTTTTTAAAGAAAAAGGCTTTTAAGTTATAATCAAGTTTTTGAGTTAACCATACTTAACATCATCTAATTTTATATGGTTGTGAGCATTATCAATACTTGAAGGCGGTGATAAAAAAATACACTCACTTGTCCTTCACTAAATTTATGACGTGGTTTGACCCAAAACAAAAACAAAAATCATTGTTGATGCGGCAACAATGAGACATGCTTGTGAGTTGATGGTGAAGCCATGATTCCATGACATGGAGTGAAAATAGTCAAGGTGTGCGTTATCCTACCCAAAATTATTGCTTGGAGGTCAAGACTGGCGTTGAGACGGTTGGTTTCTTGGGTAATTTGATTTAGTTGGACTTGAAAGCAACTCGGCAAACTCAAATATAAACTCTTCTGTATAACATGTTTCAGGAGGCCTATGAAAAAGTAGGAAAGCTTGATATAAAAATGAAAATGTTCAAAACTTGTCTCAACACAGAAACTGTTTTTTTTTTTTTAAAAAAAAAAAAACAAACCCACAATCTCTTCTGCAAGCAAAGTCCTGTCAGCTCTGCTGGAATTCACTCGAGAGTCCCCAAGTAGATTATCTCGGCACGGGGTGAGGCACGCCTAAACTGGACCAACTCTTTTAAGAGTTTTGAAGAAACAACGTCAGAAGCAGGCTCAACAGTCATCCTCTCAAGAACAGGTGAACATGAAAGCAGAAATCTGATGATATCTAGTTCAGCTTTGAAACCAGAAACATTGGTTATTGTCACAAGTCGCAGTTGGCTGAATTGGCAGTTCTGGTTGTCATCATACCAAGAGTTCACTACTTGCTCAGAGTCCTCGCCATATACACTGGCCTGCGCAAGGTATATAGCATCAAATCTTGAGATTATGACAAAAACGGATTTCCAAACTGCTAAACTTCTGTGGTGCACAAGAGTACTTTATGCATCCATAGAATAAAACTCACCTGAATTTTTAGTACTTGAAGAGCAGGGGCGCTTCCTAGAAGACATAGAGCAGTTAAGACTTCATCCGCATAACAGAAGCTAACGGTTATGGAAATAAAATTCAGACATAGACATGGTCTGGAAAGCTTTTCTGGAGAGGCACCTTCATCCAAATACTGGAGCAGAATGCATGCAGAAAGCAGAAGAATCAACGAATATGCTCAAATTCCCATGGCCATGTAAATCATCTTGAATTAGTATGAAACCACACAATTCGTTACCTGTAAAAAGTCATTCTGAATTGTGATCCTTCGAACAAGTGGCAGGTGAACAAAAACCTTGACCAAATGGCTAGAACTGTTAGGAACCAATCTAATGGAATCACAGTCCAAATCAATGAAAATTTCAACAAGATTTAACATATTCTCAAGATTTAAATTTTCAAACGAGCCTGCAAAGTCAAAGAATTGGAGGTTTGGTGCATTAATCTTAAGGTGGCTAATTCCGCTACATGTTCTCAAAGTTAATCTCTCAAGAAGAGAACAGCAATCAATCAGAGCTTGCAATACATCTTGGGCACTTGTAACTTCACGAAGACAAAGGTTCTTCAAACTCCTGAAGCCTTTGAATGTGGAAGGAGGTTTAAATAAACAATTATATAACGTCAAACTAACCGAATCTTGACAAGAATAAAAACATGAAGGCATCTTTGTAGGGATTCTTTCTCCAAACATCAAGTATGAACTTCTTGATAGCATTTCTTGATACATGAAGAATCCATCGAACAATATGACCAGTTGCTATAGGAACTTCATGGACAAGCTTGAATGTGTGTATGGGGCCAACATGAAGTACAAGTAATGTGCTCAAAGGTTGTAAGGGGTTTGGTCGGAAAACACTGATTATCAAACACAAGATGTGGAAGTGTAGCCGTTTTGTACCTCCACTTGCTGGATAAAACACTTGTCTTCACCGCCTCCTTAATAGGCAAAAATGACAAAATTTGTTCTGAAACATCACTTGGTAAGTTGCTAATTCTATCCAACTCCATATTTCTTTTCAAAGAGGACTCAGATAGCTTTCCTTGCATCATGAAAATTAAGTATAAAAAAGGAAGTTAGTAATCTAACACAACGAGAGAACCATAGTAGACTCATAGTATATGGTTTTTACTAGAAAGCACCAAGAGAGTTTTAAGGCTTTAAATTCCAAGATTACAATCCGCGGGAGGAGATGTTCACGCAGATTGATCCTACTTTTTAACTCAAGGGCGGAAATTTTTCGGGCATGAGCCTGTTATGATCTTGTGATTACTTTGATCGTAAGTATCAGGAAATGGGACCAAATGTAATAAGTGAAATAGGTTGAAGGGTTATTTTGCTATTTGTAATTCTGTAGTGGTGTTTGTTTACAATTTTTGTTTTAGTATTGCCATATGGCAGGTTTCACGTGTGTATTTGGCTACCTATAAAGCCATAGGTCCTTTCTTTTCGAAAGATTAGAAAAAGAATTTAATACAATTTTACAAAGGAATTTCTGCTATTTTTTCCCTTCTCTTCCATTGCCATTTCTAATCTTGCAAGCAGGTTAAGGTTTTGAGCCTTATGGATCCTGGTGCTATCATTGGTATCAGCCTCCGGCCCTAGTTCCCTTTCGTGCATGACCCGTGCTACAACCACCAATCGTCTCTCTGTGATGGACAGCCGCGTGGCTGAGCTCGAAGATTTCGTCGCTTCGCTTATGGCCTCTGTGGCTTCGCTCGATGTTTCCATGGCTTCGCTTCCTTCCTTGGTTGATAATGCGGTGGCGGCTACTCTTGATACTAAATTGCAGCTCTATTTCGAGTAATTTCATCACGAGCTACACTTTCGACCTGGCGGCAGCGGCCTTCTAGGTCCCGTAGTGCAAGACTGTTTCGATCATCATGCTGCTATTCTAGATCCACGTCCCCCGGGTTCGATTCATGTTGGCGATGAACCACCGCCAAGACCGCCATGGATCCAGCGCATTGAGTTTCCTCGATTTGTTGAGGGGGAAGATCTGCTTGCTTGGATTTACAAGGCGGAGTAGTTTTTCTCCTTCTACAACACTCCGACTGCTCATCGTGTGCTCACTACTTCATTCCATTTTGATGGAGAAGTTTTGCAATGGTTTAAGTGGAGAGACTGCTTACGTACTACACCGACTTGGGAGGAGTTTTCTCACACCTTGTGCCTGGAGTTTGGCCTACTGGAATTTGAGGACACTGCTGAAACACTCTTTAAACTGCGCCATACAGGTACTTTAAAGGATTACATCTCTGAATTTAGGCGATTGGCTAATCATACTTCTGATATTAGTCCTGTGTTACTTAAGAGTTGTTTCTCAGGAGGTTTGAAACGCGAGCTTAAATTTGATGTCAAATTATTAAAACCGGCTACGGTCCATGATGCAATTACAATTGCTGTCCAATTAGATGCCAAACTTAATGAGTTTAAGAGTAGTCAAGCTAAATCCTCTTAGGTGTTGAAAAATCAGTTGGTAACTACCCCTGTTCCTCCTCACAATGGCCCTAAGGCATGTAATTTGGCAGTCAAAAAACTATTCCCTGAAGAAGCCCAACAAAAGAGGGCGAGAGGAGAGTGTTGGTTCTGCTCGGACAAATGGACACCAAGTCACAAATGTGGGCTTAAATAGCTTCTTATGTTGGATTTAGTGGATGAAGAAGTTGATGATTTTGATGTCACACAGGTTGAGGCTCCTGAGTTGCATCACATGGCACCACTGCGCGCCAAACACTACAAACAATGAAAATGGACGGTCTGTTGCAAGGCCATTCTATTAAGATACTGTTAGATTCAGGAAGTACTCACAATTTTGTGGACTCCAAGCTCCTGAAACAATGGGGCTATCAAGCTCAGTTCACAAAACCTTTTGAAGTCATGATTGCAGATAGGGGGAATGTGCAAAGTTCGGGTTGTTGTAAGGCTATGCCTCTTTCATTAAGGGGTTATGAGTGTGCAGTAGACCTTTATGCTTTGCCATTAGGTGGATGTGATGCAATGTTGGGGGTACAATGGCTATCCTCAGTGAGCCTGGTGTTATGGGACTTTCAGTTATTAACTATAAAGTTTTCCAAGGGTGATCAGAAGTTTAAGTTAGTTCACAGCCCCCCACAGGTTCCATTCATTCAAGAACTATCCTTCAGCACATAGACAAGGAGCTCCACAATTCTAATCTTGGTATATGTCTTTATTCATTGGAAAATAATCAGTTGGAGATCAGTGATCTTAATTCTCACCAATTGTAGGAGTTACAAGGGCTGTTGGGAGAGTTTGAAGACATTTTTGTGATACCTACCAAACTGCCACCTTCGAGATCGCATGATCATTCTATTACCTTAATCCCTAGGGCTAAACCTCCTAACTTGAGACCCTGTCACTATGGTCCTATTCAAAAAACAGAGATTGAGAAAGCTGTGAAGGAACTCTTGGATGCAGGATTTATAAGGGCAAGCCATAGCCCCTTTTCATTCCCGGTGCTATTAGTCAAGAAGAAAGACAGCATTTGGCGAATGTGCATTGATTATTGGGAATTGAATGCTCTCACAATCAAGGACAAGTACCCTATCCCTCTCATTGATGATTTGTTGGTTGAATTGCATGTTCCAATTATTTTTCTAAGCTCGATTTGAGGTCAGGTTACCATCAAATCTTAATGCATCCTGAGGATGTGGGGAAGACAGCTTTTCGAACTCATGAGGGTCACTATGAGTTTTTAGTGATGCCTTTTGGCCTTACTAATGCACCGGCAACCTTTTAGAACTTGATGAATGACTTGTTTAAACCATTTCTCAGGAAGTTTGTGCTTGTTTTCTTTGATGATATACTCATTTATAGCAAATCTTGGCAGCAACATTTGATTCATTTAAGGGAAGTCTTCAATGTCATGCACAAGAATCAGTTGTATCTTAAGAAGTCTAAGTGCTCCTTTGGTCAAAGTAGTGTAGAGTACCTTGGGCATATAGTATCGAAACATGAGGTGGCTGCAGATCTGTCTAAACTCAGAGAAATCCAGGAATGGCCTCAACCAAGAAATGTAAAGCGATTAAGGGGGTTTTTGGGGCTTATTGGGTATTAGCAAAAATTCATTCCTGGCTATGGTAAGGTCTGCTAACCTTTGTACAATCTGACTAAAAAGGATGGTTTTGATTGGAATAATTCCTCTACTGAAGCCTTTGAACAACTCAAGAGAATTATGTCTTCACCACAGGTCTTAGCGCTTCTAGACTCAAACTTTTGTAGTAGAATGTGATGCATTTGGAAATGGTACAGGGGCTGTTTTGCAACAAAACCGAAGGCCAATTGCATTTCTCAGTCAAGCATTTGGACCTAAGAATCAGGCACTCTCTACTTATGAAAGGGAGCTTATTGCCATAGTTCATGCAGTAAGGAAATGGCAAAATTATTTGCAAGGGAGGCACTTCATTATAAAAACTGACTACAGCAGTTTAAAGTACTTTTTGGGGCAGAGAACCAACACTCAGTTCTAGCAAAAATGGGTGTCTAAACTCCTTGGTTTTGATTATGAGATCCGGTATAGAAGTGGAAATGAAAACACAGTTGCAGATTCTTTATCCCGAATTCCAAATCATCATGATATTGTCTCTAAGGACACTATGGTCTTAGCTGCTATCTCTTACCCTTACTTTGGGTGGAGGGATGACTTAAGGAGATATAATGAAAGTGATGCTTGGATTGTGGACAAAATCAAGGAAGTCACTGCATACAAACTCAAGGACACTACCAATTTTGCCTTAGCTAAATATTCAGTTGACAATGGTTTTTTATGTTATAAAAAGAGGGTGGAAATTAGCCCAAATTCCTTGTGGAGAACCAAGCTTATGGAGGAACACCATTGCACTCCAATAGCAGGTCACCAAGGTGTGACTAAAACTTATCAGAGGATAAAAAGGGGATTTTATTGGCAAGGAATGAAAGGGGATATAAGGAAGTTTGTGGCTGAGTATGCCATATGCCAACAAAACAAGTTCAAGACCATTGCACCACCTGGATTGCTACAGCCCTTACCTTTACCACAAAGGGTTTGGTCTGATATTAGTATGGATTTTATAGTGGGACTACCTAATTGCAAGGGCAAATCAGTTATCATGGTCATTGTGGACAAACTCTCCAAGTATGGTCACTTCATTGCACTTGCTCATCCCTACAATGCTTCTATGGTTGCTCAACTGTTCATAGAACATGTTTTCCGACTGCATGGCATGCCTAATTCCATTGTGAGTGATAGGGATCCAGTGTTTATAAGTGCATTTTGGAGAGAGTTTTTCAAGCTCCAAGGTTCTAAGCTTTGTATGAGTTCGGGTTATCATCCCCAAACTGATGGACATATTGAGGTGATGAATTGATGCTTGGGCACATACGTTAGGTGTTTTGTTGGAGGGCAGCTCAAAAAGTGGGTTCAGTGGTTGCCATGGGCAGAGTGGTGTTTTAATACTGCCTACCTTCTCACACTCCTCGTTGAACTCAAACGTCACTTCTTTTTGTAGGAGACGGCATAAGGGTTGTGCAATCTTGGAGAAATCCTTGATAAATTGCCGATAGAATCCTGCATGGCCAAGAAAAGAACGAACCTCTCTAACCGAAGTAGGAGAGGGTAAGTAACGTACAAGATCTATTTTAGACTTATCAACTTCAATTCCTTTTTTAGAGATGATATGACCCAAAACTATGCCTTGTTTAACCATAAAATGACATTTTTCCCAATTTAAAACAAGGTTAGTTTCCACGCATCTTTTCAAGATTAAAGTAAGATTATGCAAGCAATCATCAAATGAGTCCCCAAAGACACTAAAATCGTCCATAAATACTTCAATTATCTTTTCAACATAATCTGAGAATATACTTACCATGCATCGTTGAAAAGTGGCTGGTGCATTGCATAAACCAAATGGCATACGACGATATGCAAAAGTACCAAATAGACAAGTAAAGGTGGTCTTTTCTTGATCATCCGGCGCTATGACAATTTGATTATATCCCGAATAACCATCAAGAAAGCAATAAAAAGAATGACCGGCTAACCTTTCAAGCATTTGATCAATGAATGGTAAAGGGAAGTGATCTTTCCTTGTTGCAGCATTTAGCTTCCTGTAATCAATACAAACACGCCAACCGGTCACAACACGAGTGGGTATAAGCTCTTGTTCTTCATTCTTTACCACCGTGACTCCGGACTTCTTCGGAACAACCCGCACAGGTGACACCCAACGACTATCAGAAATAAGATATATAACACCACAATCAAGCAATTTTATAACCTCCTTTTTCACTACTTCCAACATGGGTGGATTGAGGCGACATTGAGCTTCACGAGATGGCTTGGCTCTCTCCTCCAAAAGGATGCGATGCATGCACGTGGTGGGACTAATGCCTTTGATATCCGCTAAGGTCCATCCAATGGCAGATTTGTGCTCCTTTAACACCCTTATCAACTTGTCTTCTTCTTGGGCCGTGAGTGAGCTTGATATGATGACGGGTAGTGTTTGATCTTCTCCCAAGAAAACATACTTCAAGTGACTAGGTAAAAGCTTTAACTCAAGTGTAGGTGGCTGCACAATTGATGGTAGTAACTTGTTAGTCAAAACCGAATCCAAAATTGAGAGTGGAGACTTACTAGAGTGTGAGGGCAATGACTCGAGGGCAGCAACCATTTCAATCACTTCACCACAAGCGGGCATGGCGATATGGTCAGATTGCATGCCGTGGGTTGC